TTGCAAAATGTTATTAATACCACTCAAAATGGTTGCAGTATTTTGAGAAAATGCAGCTTCCACTTGATTTCAAATGGTCGTGGTAATTTCTACCATGTTCTGGAGAATTTTAGTCCACTCTAAACCTATAACATTAACCTATACACTAATCCAAATGGTCACTTTTCAACATACCCTGGGTTTTAACTGATTTGGGGAAAACAGCATTTTCCTACTACGCCCCATGGGCTTGGAATAATCTGCAGAAACATCTTAGATTAGAAACCTTTATATCAATTAATACATTTAAGGGCATCATAAAGAATGTGGTGATGGAGACATGTGGTTGTTTTTCTTGGGAGGTCCACTATGTTTTAATAGTTGTTCTTGTTGTTTTATTTGTATTTGTTGCATCTTAATAATATGTTGTGATTGGCTGCTACCTTGGCTAGGTCTCTCCTGTAAAAGAGATTTTGAATCTCAATGGGACTTCCTGGTTAAATAAAGATTAAATGAAAATAAATAAGCAGCTGGTACAGTAGTTCTCTAGTCAGCTACTAGTCAGTTATAAATCATGGCTTGCTGTTCGGGTCCATCACTGAGACAGAGCTGATCCTCACAAGATTGGAAAAAGCTTTGCAGCCATATCTCAAAGGTTGTGGTAGGAAGCCAAACGTGACCCCCCTGCAATACACTGACAAGAATGATAATGCGAGAGACCAAGAAGAATCCAAGGATCACCGCCAAGGCAGTCCTGATGGATCAACATGTCAAGCAGACGCTGCACAAGACTGGTCTCTATGGACACTGACTAGAAGGACTTAACTACCCCAACGCAGGAATACAAAAGCTCAACTAGACTTTGCAAAAGCTCTACCGAATAAAGAAGAAAGCTTTTGTTCATCAATTCTGTGGTCAGATGAGACTAACATGGAGTTGTTTGTACACCGAGACGTGACTTTTATTTCATGACAGAAGAAGAAACATTCAACCCCAAGAACACAACCCCAGTGATGAAGCACGGTGGTGGGAATGGGATTGTTTGGGGGTAGTTTTTAGCCAGTAGGCGACTTTTCCAAAGTTAATGGTGTCATGAAAAAAGAGGACGACATGAAGATTCTAGAGGAAAGCATCAGGTGGTTTATAAAAATAATTATCCTTGGGCCACGGTGAACCTTTTAACAAGACAGTGACCTGAAACCTGCAGTCAGAAGTTGTCGAGAAACAGTTTACAGAAAATTTTATCGACATTTTGTAGTGAACCAGTCCAGACGTGAATTTCATCAAGAATCTGTGGAGGAACTAAATCAAATCAAATCAAGTTTATTGTCATTTTGCTGTACATACAACAGTAGTACAAACAAGATGAGAGCGTTTCTCCAGGATCCAATAACTAAAAGCAGTTAAACATAGAATTATGTGCATATCCGGATCAGCAGTTCAGCATTCTGACAGCTTGTGGAATGAAGCTGTTCATCAGTCTGGAGGTTCTTCCTTTAGCGCTCTGGAAACGTTTGCCTGATGGCAGCAGTTCAAACAGTTTATGGAGAGGGTGTGAGGAGTCCCTGATAATGTCCAGTGTCCTTCTTCTGAGTTCAGAGCTAGCTGTCTGTCTGTCCGCCCGGAAAGATTTAATCTCCTCCAGCTGTATGTCTGTCTGGGATGTTGTCATGGAGCCATGTTTCTGTAAAAGCAGACACTCAGCAGTCCCTCCACTCTCTGTGGGCTTCTTCCATCAAACGTAGCTCGTCCAGCTTGTTGTGGAGGGAGCGGACATTGGAGAGTAGGAGGACAGTCCTGCTGGTCTGGAGGGGTTAGCCTTTAGCCCTGCATGGATCCCGGCTCTCCTCCTCCTCCTTTATTTACGTTCCTACCGCTTGCGCTTCCTTCTCTCTCGGGTAACTGCCAGCATAGTCTCCGATCAGACTACGTGTTGGTGTAGTGCGTCCACATCACAACTGGCTGCCACAGTTTTAGCACCGTTCATCGCCCTGATGTTCAGCAAAGTCTGTCGGCTGTAAGTTTTGCAGAATGAACGTCTGGGATAGACAAGACACTCAAAACTCTTGCTGTCTCCTGAATGGGCTGCTGCACGCCGCCATCTCTATGGAAACCAAAGACACCAGAGCCATGACAAGGAAGAACCTCAAAGACCTGAAGACCATCTTGAAGGAGGAGTAGAACAAAATCCCAGTGGAGACATTCAAAAAGACATTTAGAAATTGTAAGAGGAGTTTGATTGATGCAAATACAGGCTTTGAAACTGGTTACTGAGAGAGGGTATGAATAGATTTGGACATGGCATTTTTTAGTAAAACTGTAAACAAACAAACATAGAAATAGCTCAGATTCATCAGCATCTTTAACACAGTGTCATACAATCTTTTGTCACTTGTTTGTGTCATTTCCAGCCAGAAGAAACTGGTCAAATATGAATTCACTATAAATGCAAATTTGATGCAGGTATGAGTAATTTTGGACTTGATGTGTATAAGGAGCAGCTTTGTCACAAAATCCATTTTGGTAGTTCACAGTATGATATCACAGGTGTAATAGCGGTAATGATGGCTCGCTTTCCCCCCCCCCTTTTTTTTCCTTTTCTCTCGGTCCTTCATTTCCTGGTATTGTGCATGCTGGCTCATTGTCACAGTGTAGCTCAATGAGACATTTCAACAGAACAGAGACATCTTTAATGTTATCACTAACTCCTGTGCTTCCCCTGCTGTGACTCGTCAAAATGTCTGTTGTGAAAGAGGCTCGCTGACTGAGTGTTAGTAGCGGGCATTGAAAATGAACCGAAAAAAAAAAAACACCAAAAAAACATTCCGAATAAAAAGTTACGTGACGATACATTAATGAGATACTTTGTTCGGAATATCAACTCATTTTCACAGCGGTAAAAAAAAAAAAACACATATCAAAGTGCCAGTAGAAGCTTTTCAAAGCAGCCTTTGCGTTAGGATCAACTTAAAATGAGATAAGATAAAAGTTTATTAACCCCGAAGGAAATTCTTTTGCAAATACTGCTCAGAAACAAAATTACATAACATTAGGAAACGCAGCGCCGAGTAGAACAGCAGTGAGATAAAAGTACGATAACTGAAAATAAAGATAAGTAGGCTGGAACATGGCTATAGAATGGAAAGTTAGAAGTAATGCTGGCAGTGACACCGAGGTAATAAAGCGATATCACAAATGATAATGAGATGTTGCACATGAAAATGAAATATTGCACAATACAATAACAACTTGTCAGCTAAATGCAATGCAATGCAATGCAAAACTCTGGCTCGGCGAAGACACACACGTACCTGCTTATGAATTCCACATGAGGCGTTCATGACATGAAAGTCGTGTATTTAGCTTTATTTTGGTATTTGGATGCAGGGCAGACGCTTGGTTTGCTTCGGGAGCGGTTTCAGAAGGTTCAGTGTGTGTTACTGAGCCGTAAAGACTCCCAACAATGTGATTCTCCTGCAAGCGTCATAACTTAACATCTCCTCGACCTTCTATATGGGAGCGAGCCGCAGTGATTTTACAGCGACTTTGAGTTTTAAGACTCAGAGCTCGAATGTACACGTTCAGGTTGGTTTGTGGCGTCGCTAATCAAAGATGACCCTGTTCGCTGACATGCCAGGGTGCATAGAGAGCAGCCTTCACAGCAGCACTGCATCTCTGTCTAGTTTGTGCATCCAGCTCACACAGTACCCTCTAATGTTGATAAAAGTGCTTTTAGATTTTCCAATTTGCATTGTCATTAAAATAAGGGCTCTTCTGAAGGTGAAGTGTTGTTTAACTTTTGACTTTGTGCCATCTTCCTCAAACAGTTTTAGCTTTACGCTGACAGTCTGGACCCGGGACTGCTTTTCTGAGCGATAAACAACCTTGTCAACACCCGTGCTTATCGTTTACCCCCCAGGAAGCTGGCGTATCCATGCCATTTCCCCCCTTGAAAAATAGCGATCCTCAAAGTAAATGAACATTTCGATTCACAGTATCCATTCTCATTTCATTTAGCAAATGTGCTTAGCTGTTGCCACGCAACAATGCTTTCCTGAGCTAACCCCCTCCACCACCACCACCACCACCACCCCCTCCCCAGCCGGCTCTCCGCTCTCTTCTCTCCATCTAAAGTCACAATGTCACAGTTTCTTGCGAGTGGGGCCTAATTTAGCAGCCCTTTTTTTTTCTCTCCCTTTTTGGTCACAGTTGCTATTCGATCCACGTAGGTGCGGGGGTAATGAGATTGAATCTTGATGCGCTCGCCGCTTCCCGCTGGCTCGTCTCTCTCATCGGGGACGGAGGACAGTGTGGAGCCTTCCCTGATATTACCTCTCCATGCATGAAGAGGCCGCTGGTCGCTCGGCTGCCCTGCTTTCCCGCCAGGCGCTGATCCAATAAAACTCAACACAGGGCCGCGATCGATACTGCATGTCCTACTGCCATGCAACCCCTCCACTCTCGCTCATACACACCTATTAGTTAGGGAATAATTGATTGGCCTACTGTTCATTATTCCTTTGATTTGGTGCTTTCATTAAATAGCCGGGCCACTGCATGTGCACAGACTAGTAAGCTCGCGCCGTCCACAGCTGCTGGGAACTGAATAGAGGCTTTAAGTGTGAGCAGGAGAGCATGTGTTCTGGATATCTTTGAGATTACGGAGATCCGGGTTCATAACTGCTCATACTGCCGGAATAGAAAGATGAGGAAGAGTGTGTGTGTGTGTGTGTGTGTGTGTGTGTGTATGTATATGGAAGACAGAGAGAGAGAGGGAGGTATTGTGTGTATTTCTTTTGTCTGCTTCTGTTTAAATTCATTATATCCTGGAGGCATGCAGGGGATAATCTGCTTGTTTTGTCTTCACCGCCTGTCTGAAAAAACAAACTTAATTTTTAACTGGTGTTTACTCTTGTCTTTTCCCCCCACTCTTTACCTACTTGTCTGCCCTTAATTCCCACAACCCTCCTCTTTCTTCTGCTTCCCCCCCCCCCGTTGCTCCTCTTTCTATCCTCATCCAGCTCCACACTGACATGGACAGGAATGATGGACGCACTAAGTATGTCCTGCGAGGCGAGGGAGCGGGCTCGGTCTTCGTAATAGACGAGAAAACAGGTAACATCCACGTCACCAAGCCGCTGGACCGTGAGGAGAAGGACGAATACCGTCTCATCGCCACGGCCACCGACAGGCAGACCGACCGCGCCCTGGAGCCCTCGTCACAGTTCATAATCCGGGTGCAGGACATCAACGATAACCCGCCCGTCTTTGATGAAGGCCCCTACAGCGCCATGGTGCCCGAGATGGCAAATATAGGTACGATATGCCCAGTGGGAGGGATGGTTTAGGACTGATGGTTTAGGACTGATTTGGGGCCAAGGAGGAGCAGCGTGGCTCCTTATTTAAGGAACTTTATTGTCATGCCAGCTCACATTTACGTGTTTGTGGTATGAAATTGGTACTCAGGTCCTGGTTTTTAAAAAGCCTAATAAATAATAAGGACAATGTAAAACAAGAGCAAAATATAAGTAAAAATACAAGCACTATAAGTGTGGAACATGAAAGTAGAAAAGCCAAAATTAGTTATGTTTCACACTAACTATTTGTGTCAACAGCGAGGTAGGCCGTGTATTGCACTGGTAAAGAATGAGAAAATTGCACATTGGTTAAAATATATCGTGAAGCAGGTATCCTAAATCGGGCTGCAAGGTGGATCATCGCCTTGCAGCAAGAAGGTCACCGGTTCACATCCCGGTGAGGACACCTGTGGTCTTTTTGTGTGGAGTTTGCATGTTCTCCCCGTGTAGCGTGGGTTCTCTCCGGGTTCTCCGGCTTCCTCCCACACGGTCCAAAAACATGTTGAGGTTAACTGGTGATTCTAAATTGTCCGTAGGTGTGAATGTGAGTGTGCTTGGTTGTCTGTCTCTAAGTGTAGCCCTGTGATAGACTGGTGACCTGTCCAGGGTGTCCCCTGCCTTCACCCTGAGTCAGCTGGGATAGACTCCAGCCCCCCATGACCCTAGTGAGGATTAAGCGGTGTATAGATAATGGATGGATGGCATCCTAAATCCATAATCAAATGAACAAAACATACAAATGCACCAATAAATAGTTTGATCAACATAAAATATAAAACTCTTTTATTGTATAATATCACTTTTTCACTCACTGGAGTTATCATCAGCTTTGTCTGCTCTCTAACTATGTAGCCAATCTCTCAGCAGACTCACCAACTGTTACCAAATTTAGCCAGCTCGCTCTCGTCAGCTGCAGCCACAACAATGCCAGAGAAACGAAGAAAAAAAAAAGAAAAGAAATTCAAGGCTGCTGCTGTAAATAAACACAGTGTTCACTTATAGTACATCTCTTTTTTTCTTTTTTTTTCAAGCTTTACAAGCCTACACGTGATTCCTAACCTGCCAGCCGATGACTCGGGCTTTATTACTCAGCAGCCGAGTTGAAAGAAGATCAAGTGAAAGTATCCTAGTGTAGAAATACTCTGTTACAAGTAAAAGTCATGCATTTAAGCTTAGTTTGAGGGAAATGACAAGAGCATTGGCATTAATATATATATATAGTATCAAAAGTGCAAAATATTTCAGACTTGATTATACTAATTGATGTATTCATGTGTTTATTTATAGTTTATCTGCTGAGAAGCTTGTGAATTTCACCTCAAGGAACAATAAGGTTTCATCTCAATCGATAACAAAATCTAAAATTTGGATTTATTGGTTGACTATAACTTGTAATAATAAACCAAATCTGCAAAGCAACATGTAACTAGAGTCTTCAAATAAATGTATTAGAGGAAAAGGTCCAATACTTGCCTCTAAATTCTAGCGGAGTGAAATAATAAAGTCGTAGAAAATGGAACTCCTCAAAGTAGAAGTAACCATACTTGAGAAAATGTTCTCAGTTGCTTTCCTCCACTGCTCAGAAATAAAGCAAAGAGTCCGAGACGCTGCTCGCAGGTTCATTCAGCATCGGCTCTACGGTGCTGCAATTCTGACATAATGCACACAATTCTGTAAAAAGCAACAATCCACAGGAGTCGCTCCCTTTTTTTTTTTTCACCGAGAAGATGGACTTTTGTTGATAGAATCCAAGTTAAGCTGTTGAACTCTGATAGTGTGGAATCATTTGCGATGAAACGGGCAGGTTACAGGTTGTGAAACAGTAATTTCACATCTATGAAGTGTTGGAAAGCAAACACAGTGTGCTGTAAAGTGGATATGGAGCAGTTTTAGTGGTTTTAGCCAAATGGGTCTGGTTAACTTGATCTCACTTGGTTAGCTTGTTGGGGCAGAAGTGACTGGTACAGATGACAACTCCATTATTACAAGAAGTGTGATTATAAAATACCAATAACACTCTTATAATGTCAAGGTTACAACACTACATACCTTTTTTATGCATTAAGCTATTAAATAAATACTGGTTTGTATTTATATGATGATTTACTTCATGGTGCATACAAATACAAACCTTGTATTTCAGATTCCTCCCGTCTCAGTCCTTGCACCAACCCGAGTTCTGCACACAGGAAAAGTTGCTCAAAGCTATCCCATAATACGATCAACTGAGGTTTCTGCTCTGACCTGACTCGCTCAGTGCAGCAACCCAATTTGTTGCATCTTCCCCACAGTTATAACATGAATAAATTGCTATCGCGATGCCATATGCCATCCAGACAGCAGCTCTCGTTACATTTTGCATGACAGACAGATGTTTTCGTTTAATCTTTTGACCAGAAGGCAATACAGAGGGAACATTATTACGGTTTGATCAGCCAGCGTTTTGCACAAAGCTGAACACATGGTAACATAATTACAAACCTGGATTTGCAGAGGTTCCCCGGTCGCTCTGGTGGACAAGGGGGACCTTGTTTTGTTTTGGAATCTTACGCCGTATGTCACACACGTTCTTCTATCTCATCTTTTCTTGTCGTTTCGCCGCCATGATTGAGCGTGAGAGCGAAAACAATAATAAAATGATAAATAATGTCAATAGCAGGGATAGGAACTTACCTTAATATAGTGGTGCTATTAAACGAACATTCTGTAAACAAAGCGCGGGGCCGTCGCATTTTATTGGGTTATTGTTTAATCAGAATAAAGTAGCAGCCAGTGACTGCTGTCAAGCTCCAAAATGATGGATGTCCCACTTGACCACGGCCAGACAGTATGCTTTATTATTTCTATCTCACAAGGCTGCATTGTCTGAAGGCATTTTATTCAATAGCTTTGAATCTGCAGTCCCTATGCTCAGCCCAGAAGTGTGCATTCTGAAAAATATTGAAAAACATCAATTTATCGCAGCAAATTAAACCAAGGATGAACTCACGGCGTTGGAAATGTAAAACCTGTATTATAATAATTGTAACATAAACACCTTTCATGGAAATCACTCCAATTGGGAACATGAACTAATATTTGAAATATAATGAGCATATTAATGTAGCCGTAGATGTCCTCAATGTGAGACTTTGACAGCTGCAGTTATGCAGCCATTATACAACGCAGCACCGCCATAATTATTGCCTGCTAGGATTCCATTCACACTGAATCACCATTCTGTACACAGACTTTTTAGCCTTCATCACAATGAAGTCTGAAATGGGTATATTGTATAGTGGGAAAACCTGCTGCAATTTAGGTGCCTCGCAGTACAATAGGTTCAATATGTGTATGGCTTTCAGAAAACAAACTTGAGCGAGAGAGCGTTTATGAGCGGCTAAAGAGTCTGAATCCCACAACTCATAACGAAACAGCTTCACTGCAGCCGATCAAAAAAATAAAAACAAATCTTGAATTTTGATCGACTCTTCTTTAGAGCTGCTGTCGTTATCACAGCTCCGTAAAGAAAGCGAATGCATGATGGCGTCACATTTGCGTACATTTTTGTCACAGTGCTTTTATCTGCTGCAAACCAGTCCACTACGGAGCCCGTCTGGTGACATCGACGAGAAATAAAAATAACTCGTTCCCACGCATTAGTAAATCGTGGCCACGAGTTATTAATGTGTGGGAACGACATAATTATCACACCGTGTTTCATCGCAAGAGATCGCAGGACATCGGTGTCGTTCATTCCAAGGTTAAAATCAAATCAAAATGCTCCATGTTTCATGCAAGTACGCCCGTTATCCTTAATCGACAGCTGGTATGACCGCACTGTGAAATTTGCTCCACAACTTCTCTTGTTTCTTTATATTAGTAATGCGAGGCCACAATTTAACTATGTCGTTTGAGTTATTTTTATTTCTTATCGATGTCACCAGACGGGCTCCTTAGTCCACAATTATTCACCTATTCTTCAATAAATGCAAGTAAAATATGTGATTCACACTGACAACTTGAAAGGCTCTGAATACCCATCCTGCTACGAGTGATGGCGTCCAACACGATCAGTATATTATCGCTCAAAGTCAGAGAATATTTCCTCTTTGCTCCTCTGGCTGGTTTGAGGAGGGCACGAATGCAGCAAACAGGATTTCGCAACACACGACTGATTCAAGAACAGTTTCGGTCAGATCTGATTCCTGATGAAACTGACTCTTTGACCGCAAAACTTTGCAAAAACATTCGTTAAAGCTGTGCACAAACTGAAGCTACAGATTGGTGACGGATTAAAGCAAAACCTGAAGCTTTATATCTACAGTGAGAGGATCTGGCAGAGTTCAGGTCCCCTTAGAGGGAAGAGTGGCTGCAAATCAATACAAAGTTGTTCTGTGTGATCACCTTCATCCTATTTCTATCCCGTCAGTAGTGTTCTCTTCCAGGTGCCAGAGGGTATGAGGGGTCACTGGATGGTTTGATGGGAATAATGTGAATCATATGCCGTGGCCTTCACAGTCACCAGATCTCGACACAATTGAACATCTGTGGTCCAGAGCGTTGCAGATTAGGAGCATTGAAGCTGTTCTGAATGTGAAGGCATCTCCTTTAAGTTGTTCTCTCCATGTGCTGCAGTGCAAATTACAGTTACATCCCCACTCATCACGCAGACTACATTCCATTTTCACTTTGCTAGACGCCACGTTAAATGTTAAAAGCGTGTCATGATCGCAAACACTAAAGCAGCAGGTTGTCTTTGCCAGCGCTCGTTGTCAAGGTGAAGTCGTACGCAAGGTGAGATTTCATCTTTTAGAACTGAATGAACTAATACTCAGACAGATTTGCATTCAGCACGTCTCGGTAGTCTTGACCATTTCATGTTACGCAGGCAAACTGATATAATATTCAGCGCAGGCAACACCGTGCGCCTCGAGCGACTGCCCAATTATTACATTTAATATACTGAAATATAATTAA